AAAGATCAACTACGTGGCGTTTTGTGGGGCGAAAGCGTGGGCCAAAGAAACTAGGGCTTTTTATCCTGCTGACTTCCGATGCAATGGTATGAAGGCATCGGTTATTTTTTATAGTGCTTCTTGGCAAAACTCGCCCACTTCGGTGAGCCATCACGCATCTCCTTTTCTCGCCAACCTGTTACTTTTTCCGCCTCTCTGCGCCCGCTTTGAACAGGACCCACAGCTGTACTTCGCCGCTGGAGATGTAGGCAATTCCCAACATATAAGGGTGTAACATGATTAGTGAATCACTTTGGGTATTTTTGAATTCGAATTTTTTTCTTTTTTATTGAAGTCCTTTGCTCATCCAAACATACACCTCTGTCATCTATAATGTATTGCCTATTCATGGAATTTATTCGCCATTATTCCTCTGAAACTGCGGGAGGTTTTGAACGAAGAGACTGGAAGTCGGGTTTGAGGTCGTATCACTTAGCGTAAAATTTCTTGATCCAGGAAAGCGCTGGACCTGAGATAAGGTTGTCCTTAGCTGGTATGAGGATACTTATACACGACGAAACTGAAAGAACTGTTGGCCTAAGAGTCACCAACTTTTTCTGAATAATCTCCCAAAGTTGGTTAAACGACCCCAGAAAAAAAAGCCGACTTTGAATTGCTTTGCTTTCAGATTGAACATGTTGCCACTGTGCTGTCCACGTTTGCCTTCTTTCAATGACCCTAGTGGTTACTGGGCGGTGGTTCCCAGCGCAGGGTTCCTTTCGTGGTTCACCAACATTTCAGAAATGTCGAACTTTAAGGTGACTTGCTGCAGAGAAGCTCCCTACATTCCATCATCTCAAAACAAGTCGGATCGCTTGACAAATAGTGACTACGTTGTCCAGATCCAAGCAGCAAGATTGCCAGTAGAGGGGTAGTTGGAGTGTGGGCCATCGCCAAACGAAAAAACCAAATCCGGAATTGAGTGAACCGTGGACTGAGAGGGTGTCTCCTCGCCTATCTGCTGGTTGATCCACTATGTTGTTTGGCGTTTGAAAGATCTAATCAGAAGTGATGAAGAGGAAGCTCAAAAATAGGTTTAGAAAAATTGATGTAATAGCCACGTAAGGCAGCGTGTAAATGGGCTGACCAAATGCTCAGGTAGGAGAATGTGTGGGCTACTTCGCAAAACATGTTCCACGCCTTTACCATTTTTCTTGAATTTTTTATAGCAATAATTTAAAGGAAGCGATTACGCAAAGGAATTTTCCCATCGGGAAGACCCTGCGTCACACGGAGCAATTACTTGGCCGCCAAGGAAGAGATGTGTGGCCCTCCCACGGCGGAAGGTGCCGTGGTTGCTGAGCAGGACCCGTGCGACGCCCCGCCCTATGTGACGTGACGCCCACTAGTTTTGTTGATGATCTGGATGGACTGTTTGCTGTTGGCTTTTCATTTTGGATGATCATTTCCCTTCTAGCGGCTGTATCTTCCAACTTGCCCACGTATTGCCTTATCAATCAAAACACTATGCTTGTTGGCATGATGGCGGCTATCGGGGTTAACACGTCCGAACAACGTCGTTCTTCACCGTCGCTCATCGGTGGTCGAAAATGAAAGGGCAATCAAAGGGGTGTTATTCTGCTTATTTTTGACGGATTTCTTTGCTTTTTTCGCCATTGGTGTATTACTGAGACCCTCACGTCCACTCCAAACTGTAATCTATCGATATCGTTCTTTTTAAAGAGATTCACTAATTATGGGACAACCTAATAGTTTCTTCCGATAGTTTCTTCACTGATAGTCCATTTTGCACATGGTCTCTCATCTTTCGACGACAGAGACTACATCCTGTGGTCGTGGAGTGTGCTGCTCTGTGTACAGAAATTCAGCCATCCCATTGAAAGCACTGCCTAAGACACGCGACGAATAAGCAACAAAAACTCACCGAACGACTACTTTCTGGCACAAAATGCATATACTACAGCCGTATCTCGTTGTGAGGACGGGCTCTAGTTCTGCTATTGCACGCGGCTGCAGCCAGAGGGTGTCGCCTTTCTGCAAAAAAGGAGAAACCCTCTGCCTGCAGCCGCAGTTGTGCAATAGCCAGAATAGAGCCCGTGCCTCACAACAGATACGGCTGTAGTATATGCATTTTGTGCCAGAAAGTAGTCGTTCGGTGAGTTTTTGTTGCTTATTCGTCGCGTGTCTTAGGCAGTGCTTTCAATGGGATGGCTGAATTTCTGTACACAGAGGCACACTCCACGACCACAGGATGTAGTCTCTGTCGTTGAAAGATGAGAGACCATGTGCAAAATGGACTACGAGTGGAGAAAATCTATCGGAAGAAACTATTAGGTTGTCCCATAATTAGTGAATCTCTTTTTTAAAGGAAGCGATTACGATAGATTTCACAGGGGTTTGGAGTGGACGTGAGGGTCTCAGTAATACACCAATGGCGAAAAAAGCAAAGAAATCCGTCAAAAATAAGCAGAATAACACCCTTTGATTGCCCTTTCATTTTCGACCATGGATGAGCGACGGTGAAGAACGACGTTGTTCGGACGTGTTAACCCCGATAGCCGCCATCATGCCAACAAGCATAGTGTTTGATTGATAAGGCAATACGTGGGCAAGTTGGAAGATACAGCCGCTAGAAGGGAAATGATCATCCAAAATGAAAAGCCAACAGCAAACAGTCCATCCAGATCATCAACAAAACTAGTGGGCGTCACGTCGCATAGGGGCGGGGCGTCGCACGGGTCCTGCTCAGCAACCACAGCACCTTCCGCCGTGGGAGGGCCACACATCTCTTCCTTGGCGGCCAAGTAATTGCTCCGTGTGACGCAGGGTCTTCCCTGATGGGAAAATTCCTTTGCGTAATCGCTTCCTTTAAAACTTATTGCTACTAAAAATGGCGGACAAAAATGGGTAAAGGCTAGCATACATTATGGGAATTTATCGCTCATTTCCTCTGAAACTGCGGGAGGTCTTGAACGAAGAAGACTGGAAGTCGGGTTTGAGGTCGTATCACTTAGCGTAAAATTTCTTTTTGAAGAAGAGCGCTAGAGCTCAGACAAGGTTGTCCTTAGCTGGTACGAGGATAGTGCTACACAACGAAGCTGAAAGAACTGTTAGCCTGAGAGTCTCCAACTTTTTATGAATAATCTACCAAGGTGGGTCGAACGACCTCAGAAAAAAAGCAGACTTTGTCTTGCTTTACTTTCAAATTGAACGCGTTGCCATGTGCTGTCGACGTTTGCCTTCTTCAGTGACCCTAGTATTACTGGGCGGCGGTTCCCAGCGCAAGGTCCTTTCGTGTTTCACCAACATTTCAGAAGTGTCGAACTTAGAGGAGGTTGGGCTTTTGCTGTCAGAACTCCCGCTACATTCCATCATCTCAACAAGTCGGATACGCTCTGACAAATAGTGACTACTTTGTCCAGATCCAAGCAGCAAGATTGCCAGTAGAGGGGTAGTTGGAGTGTGGGTCATCTTCAAATGAAAAAGCCAAATCCGGAATAGAGTGAACCGTGGATTGAAGGAGTGTGTCCTCGCCTATCTGCTGGTTGATCCACTATGTTGTTTGGCGTTTGAAAGATCCTAATCAGAAGTGATGAAGAAGGAAGCTCAAAAATAGGTTCTAGAAAAATTGATGTAATAGCCACGTAAGGCAGCGTGTAAATGGGCTGACTAATTGCTCAGGTAGGATAATGTGGGCTACTTCGCAAAACATGTTTCACGCCTTTACCATTTTTCTTGGATTTTTATAGCAATAAATGTAAAGTGATTCACTAATTATGGGACAACCTAATAGTTTCTTCCCATGTTTCTTCACTGGTAGTCCATTTTGCACATGGTCTCTCATCTTTCAACGACAGAGACTACATCCTGTGGTCGTGGAGTGTGCCTCTGTGTACAGAAATTCAGCCATCCCATTGAAAGCACTGCCTAAGACACGCGACGAATAAGCAACAAAAACTCACCGAACGACTACTTTCTGGCATAAAATGCATATACTACAGCCGTATCTCGTTGTGAGGACGGGCTCTAGTTCTGCTATTGCACGCGGCTGCAGCCAGAGGGTGTCGCCTTTCTGCAAAAAAAGAGCGCTTTGCAAAAGCTAGTCTTGATTTCACCGTTGGCAAAAAGCAATCATAAAAACCAAAATGATCGGTATTGAACAACTTATTTGAGATGTGTCGCACAACTATTTCCCATTTACAATCGTGGACCTATTTGTATGCTGAAATTGAACATCTCGTGTGAATAATGAGGATCGATCGATGGTTTTGTGTTTCTCTCTTCCGGGCAATTTCGATGACAAGAAGCACGATTTTATCAAAAGTTGGCAGCAAATTTCCCACCATGACAAGTAGAGGAAGAGCATGGCTCAGAGTATTTAGTGGAGCTTACGCGATCATATTTGTTCCTGCACATACCCATGGCTTCTGTCAACGAAAAGAGACTAAGCATTTTGAAGGAAACAAACAAAGTAAGTGTGCTGTAATAGAAAGCACGTGTGAGAGCTCCCAGATAACGCTACAAAACACTGAATTTCCTAACTTCACGGTTGACAGAAGTCCTGAGACGTTTCCCCACGCCTGGACGTGTCGCAACTGCAATCATCGTAACATGTGTGGCATCAGGCTGCACCAACGGTATCATACGGCAGACGTGATTCAGATTGAAGAACATCGCAACATGCGCCATTATCCGCTAATATGAAGTGTCCAGCCAAGGAAACAACATATCTACTTGACGGTACCTCAGGACTAGGTGAGCCAATTATTTAAACGTTGTGAGTACTCGTGAACGAGCGTCACAGTACTGCAATATCTGTCACATAAGACCACATCACGGAAGGATGGGAAAGGAAAGATGCGAAGGGGTGACGCCTGGAAGATCTAAATTCGTCTAGTCCTGTCAAACCCTCCAGCTCAGCGGAGGTGGTCAAATGGAACCAGTGTCAAGTTTCAAACTTTAGTTTTGACGAAATCTCTCCCCGGCTGGCCATTCTGCGAGCCGAAAACACATTCAGCTGCCTTCTCGAAAACGTATGGGAGGGTATCTTCCAAGGTTACCAAACTATGCGAGGAATTTCATTTGCTGCCCCTTGACTTACGTGATTTCTCAGAATACATCAAGTAGTAACAATAAATTGAAAACGAAACCAAGAGATCATTTACCTCGGAAATCCAGCCAACGCTGACGAGTTTGTCCAAGAAATTTTGGGCTTTCACAAGCGTTATTGGGTTCGGAAGTTTGGTTGCCTCATTGAGTGCCCAAGAGCTCTCACACTGACCACCACCATCAACAAACTGTGGAATATACCGTGAAAACAACAGGAGCTCGTCTGCTCTGAATAGACATTTTGAAAGTAAGTATGTATTAGTACAAATAAAAGTTGAAAATACGTATGAGTACAGAATCGCGGAGGTAAATATTTCATGAATTTACTGACGAGAATCCGCTTATGCTGCTGATGTCCCTCGGAAGCACATCCTCACTCACCAACACTACCATTTCCCGACCTGTTTCTTCATCGGCTACGGATGTAAGACGAAGTCCAAGCTTAACAGAAGAAATGTTATCTATTATGTACTCTTCCGAATCACTTTAGATGGCTAGAAGACTTCACATAGGATAAAAAGGATGAGGTATGCAACATTGTTCAACAACAACAACATTGCAACATCAACATTTTTGGGATGCACTACGCATTTTACTTCCAGTGTAGTAGTGTTGGCATTTGGAAGGGAATTGGCTTGTACAATGACTTGCGGTTCCGAATCGTTATACTACTCGGTTATTATCATTCAAGACAGGTCTGTTAGGAGACGAGACTCCAGAGGGATGGGGCTTAGTTGGCTTGGACGGTGTGCGACTCAGGATTTGATGCCGAAACCGCGCGCATAGTGAGCAATGCAACTTACCGCTACACTACTCGCCTTGGAAACTCCGAAAAAGTCATTCCAAAATGTTTCTACCCGAATATAAAGGAGGAGCCGCTACAGAAATGGAATTGATTTGCAACCATTCTTGTGAAACATTCGCAAGGAGAACTGCGGCCAAAAACAACAGTTAACAATCAAAAATCAAATCAATCAAACCAGAACTAAATAAGAAACTTACCTCGAGTAAGCGAGGATTCAGTTCAGAGAACAACAATGAAACAAGACCATCTAGCTCCTCTGCAGAACATACAATTTTAGAAACTGTCTGAGGATCTCCTGAAAAGAAGCAGTCATTAAGTTAGTAAGAAAGCTCTAAAAGTAATGTACCACAACTGATTAATATTCCTGAACAACCCACTTTTCAGGTGAACACTAACCACTTCATGAATGAAGCTGAGGTAAAATTTCTTCTTCTGAAAATGATCGATTTCAGGTTAGAGCTATTTGGGTAATATGTATGAGCCAAAACATTGTCAAATCATAGAATCACCGTAAGAACGCCCATATTGACCATAAGTGTCGCTAAAGACTGATGAGCTGATGAGAACTCTCTGGCACACTGTAGAATGTCCTTGAAATATGGTACTTGAAGAAAATTCTGAAGTACAGCAGACTCAGGACCTTCAAGAAAAGTTGTTGGTTATCGATATCAACAGAATAAAGATGAGAACTCAGTGCTGTTCAACCTTATTTCACCCAGAGAGAGATCACAACGAACGCAGCTGTGGCATATACTCGAGCATGACGGAGTGTAAGTTTATCTCTTTTGATCAACAGTGGCGATCCCCCAGGCGTAGGGCTTGCTCACGTAGTGATCAAAACAATAATTTGTTTTCTTTACCAGTCCATTTTCTGGAACAGAAGAATTAATGGAACCCACTCCCCAAATCAGTCCGGCCGACAGTTTTTTTTTATCTGGTCCTGGTGCACCCTATCTGCGGCTTTCTCTTGGGGTCTATTCTGTTCAGTTATCTTACATTGTGCATCTGTCTCCGTCACTCTGAACTTATTCTGTACGATCTTCACTTTTGTAGTGGAAGTCTTTTACCTTTCGATATCCTAAACGTGAGGTGGTTTAGGTACAAAGACAGCTTTATCGAGAAGAACGAAGAAATCCAAAGGAGGCTGAATGTAACCATTCGGCAGGTTGAAGCAGATTTTCAATCCATCAAGGCAACGATACAGACGACTAGATGACAGTTCTCAATGAATATTCCTGTTTACGTCAATTTCTATAATGCTCATTGATGGCTCCATACTTACTGCTGCATTTCTGCTGGCTCTCCAAATAATTTGAAGGTAGAGACCGAAATGGCACAGCTCAAACCATTGTTACTGCCTCCTCCTCCTCATTCTATGCCTATAACCCGTTCTATCTTCATGTCTTATATTTGAGTTTGGCCTGATGGTCAGTTGATCTGAAACATTTTCGAGCCATCCGGGACGAGCGCATTGAATTATTTGTCATAATTAACATGTGCGTTGCCAGCATTTTTGGAATCTGCTTTAATTTCGTTGCGAGCTTTCGTTTTTCTCTTTTTTGTCTGAGCAAAATGTCTGGCCCATATATCGGCTTGATTCCCACAAGTCACGATATAAGTGGGGCATTGTTCAATTTTCCCTTCAATTGTGAGGGAGCTAATTATGTTGGCGCGTCACAGAGGAAGTGATCAACTCCTTTCATTTTCACCTTTTCTCCTTAATCAATTCATGTTTGTTTGTGATTGTTTACTGTTGTCAATAATGTGCGTATTTAGTATTGTTTGTGTTCACTTATGATTTCCAAACTACTAATCGATTCGACTTTATTCTTCTTTTATCCCAGATGCTGTTATGCTCACGATTATGCGATCATTCATACTTGTATATATCAAAACTGTCACAATCTCAGGGTGTTTCTTAAGTGCCTTCATCATTAGATAATATAAAGGTTGGTCTCACGTCTTCTTGTTGACTACTGGCCTTGGAGCAATTGCCTGCTAACTATTCTTTCAAAAGAGTGTAGATTCGGCATACGAAGATGAAAAGGTTTCTTTCAAGGGGTTAGTTCAGTATGTAAGTGAAGGGCGGAAAGTGGTGTAGTGGCAAGTGGCACGCTTACCACGCGAGCGGTCCGGAGGATCAAATCCTGGGTCGTGAGTCGTCCGGGCCAACCAAGCCTTCCATCCCTCCGGGGTCGGTTAATTGGTACCAGACTTGTCTGGGAGGATAAAAACACTGACTTGTACATCGGCTGGCCCCCGCAAGTCATTGTATAGGCCACATCGCATTCAAACGCCACTACGAATGTACAAATGGAAGTAGAATGCGTGCCGCATCCCAAAAGGGATTGATCAGTGGCAAGCTAAAGGTTTTATAAAGTGGACTGAGCGCGAGCCAGCTAACGGTTATACGACTCGAAACAGGATAAAAACAGTCGCCGTTGAAAAGACGTGGGGTCGGCTGTGTCGAAGGGAGAGGCCATGCAGTAGCAGAAGCCAGGTGTCATGAATAATTTGTTCAGTAAGTGGTCTGCCTCCACAAGCACGCCGCCCTTCCCTACTCCCCCTACTGGTCCCTCCTCACTTTCCGATGGTTTCGTATAACTTCGT